TGTGGTGATTTGAAGCCATTTGCATATTTTGAGAGAGAAAGAGAGAGCGCGCGCGAGAGTGGTGACTTACTCAAGCTGTTTGTGAAATTACGTCTCACACAAGGTTTTCAAATTACTTTATAAGTTATTTAATGAAGAAATATGAAGGTAAGTACCTCACCTTCAGCATTATAATTATTTCACCCGTGCCGGACTGAGACGGTGACGCTGCATGTCGTGCCAAACCTTCTCACGGCTGCGTCATCAGCTTGAGATCGGTTTTTGGAGATCTACCTTTTTAGAGACCGCCGATCAATCATCCCAACGTGATTATCAGCCGATAGTGATCGGTAGCCGATCAATCGGAGCACCCCTAATGTAGACATGTATTAAAAGCGTAATGGAATATAATTACAGTATTTTTTGTGATTAAGCTATAGTGTTAAATATGATTCAGTGTTAAATATGTTAAATAAAATTCAGCATGAATATCCCACATTTCTGCCACAATACTAGGGCTGGGTTTTGACACAATTTTCACAATTCGATTCGATTCTCATTCATAAGCTTGCGATTTGATTCGATTACTGATTCGATCCGATTCAATAGCGATTATTTTGGATATATATCAGGTACAGTACATGCCAAATTTTCTCAAGGAAAAAAAATCTCTCAACTAATGCTGTAAAATATACATGAGAGTCAGTTGGTACTACATTACTATAATATTGAAGCTTAAAATTGACTGATTTGTTAAAATTACACTTAATGAAGTTTTTAAAATAATAGTTAAAATTACATAATATTTCTACTTCAATTTGTTGTTTTGAAATATAAACATAATGGTGGCTGTCATAAAAACTTGATGGATGTATTCAAACATAAATTAAACATTGAAGAACAGTACAATTTATAATGAAACAATCGGTCCGAGATCGCCTGAACGAGGAGGTCTCGGCTCGATTGAAAATGAACTGTGGAGCAGTTCTGTTGTAATGTTATATGGTGCATATATTTAGCAAAATGCCCCTCTCTGCAGTTGGTTTTGAATATGT